TAATCAGCTTGGTATTATATTTCAGTGATAGGGCAAAAAAAGAGTAATACAAAATGACCTGATTGCCCTGGAGAAACTCAGTCTGTTTGGAGACACAGTGCATTCTCCAAGCACCAGGGGAGCTAAAAGGAACAAGACCTAGACTGAAATAGTGGTGGGAAAGATGTCACAAAAGAGGTGACATCCGAGAGTCTTGCCAGATACTAAGGTCTTGCTCAAGCAGATGAGGAATAAGGCCATTCCCAGCAGAAGCAGCAGATTGTACAAAAGCATGTTTAACACTTGGCTGCAGGAACATGGTGATCAGGGGGACTGGAGGAAGAGGAAGCTGGTGAGGTGGTCGGAGCTGGACTACCAAGGGCATTGAAGCCCCTGCCAGGCACTTGGACTTTATTCTGGTAGGACTGGGGAGCAGTACAAAGGATTTTAAGCAGAGGAATTACATGAATAGGCTTATCCTTCAAAAAAGTCACCCTAGGAGAAGTGTGGAAGAGAGATTAGAGGGCTGGAAATAGAGGCAGAGAAACCTTCTGGCCAGGTGGTAAGTGGCAGAAGTCCTGGTAGGGGCAGTTGGTGTTTAAACAAAGATCTGAATTAAAACTGAAGGCCTGAGGAGGAGGGGAAAAATCAAGGTATGTCAAGAAAGTAGAATGTGTAGAACTTGGTGATTTTTTGAAAGCGTTGGGAGTTGTCGCTAAATGATGGTCTCAGAGATCAGGGAATGTTTGTCGGGTTTAGCTAAATAAATGTTAAAACTAGAAGCCTGTTTCTCAAATTGGGGTCGCCGTGTCCCCTTAGAGGTCTCATGCAAACTCTGAGTTGTTTATGGTGCCTTATGAGCTGGATGTATCTTAGGTTTCAAACAAGTTAGTATTGCAGCACTACTCAGGTCTTATAAGTAAGCCAAACACGCAATTCTTTGTTAAAAACCGTCTGCTACTCCCGCCACCCACCACCCCAGGATCTCTTTCCTGGCCATGATGTGCCTTATCTCTATCTACTAGTCATAAAATTTGTTGGCCACCCACTATGTATTTGTCTCATCTCCTACCTCTACCCATCACAGCTTTCTCGTCTTCTGATTAAATAAAAGAATTAGCCTCTTATTTGATAAATCATTGTATGAGTACCTGTGTCTCAGAGTTTCTGAAGTCTGGCAATAGAATATCCTCTGCTAGTTGAGAAAACATGGAGGCTTACCCATCACCAAATCTTCCACATGCCAGAGACTGCACTGAAAGAACACTGAGTTCTTTCATGTAGTTAAAAGAACACAGTGCTTGCCCTCTGGGAGCTCAACATCTGGAAACAAACCTACAGAGGGAGAAACTGGCAAGAAGAAAGAAACACACTAGAAATAGCATCAGTCTTAAATGATGCACAGTGGGATTTGGGCTGAGGTGCTGCTCTGTAGTTATGGCCTGGTGTTAGTAGGTTTGATAGCTAAAACTAACATGCTTTTATCTTGTAAGATTTCAGATCGAATATAGTGGTTGAGAGCCTGGGTTCTGGGGTCTGACTTCTGGCTCTGCCACTTCTATGTGTCACCCTGGCCAAACTGCGTCATCTCTGTGCTTCCCTTCACTGTAACATGAGGATCATAATAGTATCTACCCTAGGAATGAGAGGATTCAATGGCATGTGTGTGTGACAGGCGGCACACCTCCTGACACAATAAATACTCACTGCCGACCCTTCCTTAAGCCAAAAAGAAGCCTCTGAAGGCCCAGCTGAGACAGGTGTACTGCATGAGTACCAACGATTGCTGCCTTCTTCCAAATGAGAGCTGCTGTGGCTAACCCTGAGATCCTTTGTAGTCATTTAATTTCAAAGATGTTCTGGAACGTACTTTCTTCAAGACAAGTTAGTCTTTTGAGTTTTTAAGTTAATCTTTAATGGTATCACACACAATCAGTTGTCTCTTCAGGGCACTTCCAGAAACAAGTTTGAAGGCCAGCATGTAGCAGGTAACATTTTAGAGGAGACGGGTATCACTGCCTCTCTGAAACTTTCCATTGATACCCATCCCCTCCCTCCTCCTTTGAGTTCAACACACGTTAATTAAGCATCACTATTTTTTAGGCTCTGTATTCGGCTCCAGGGATGCAAGGGTGAACAATTTCTATCCTCATGAAACTTGCAATTGTGTGGAAATACATGTGAACAAATTCAATCCGTTGTGATAGAAGCACCGATGGGAGTGTGTAGGAGGTCAGAAGAGGTACACAGAAAGAACAACAAGGAAGGTTTCACAGAGGTGGTGACATCTCACCAGGATTTTGAAGGGAATAAGAATGGGGAGACTCAGAAAATCAGCATGATTTGCACAGGAGAACTAGACCAGAGGTGTCAGGGAGTGGGGTGCTTGGTAGGAGATGAAATTGAAGATGTAGGCAAGAGCTTGATCATGTAAGAGCTTGGCCTTTGTCGTGGGAACATCAGGGGCCATTGAGGGACTTCGGGTAACAGAATGCCACAGATTTACATTTTTAGCAGAATCAACCTAGTATAAAAGACAAACTTGAAAAGGGTTTGCAGATGCTGGCAGATTCCTGTGACTACTGCTGATTCATTGAGAGCAGAGATAGGGTCCTATTTGTCTCTGTATCCCTATTGTTTAGTGCTTTATAGACATTTAAGAATTTTTTTGGAGTAAAGACAGTCCAAGTTGAATTTTCCCATTCTGTGTCCTATCCTCAGAACATGCTGACCTGGACCTCCATCTGTCACAAGCAGCTTGACTAAGATCCTAGGAAATTCCTTTGTTTCTTGGCATTCTTTTACCTGGCACTCTCCCTGTTTACTAGCCCCTCTGTACAGCTGTAGTATGTGGTGATTGATGCTTATAATTCTGACCTTGAAGTACTTCATGCCTTCTAAATCATAAAAAAAAGATTAAAGCATATTCAGTATCACTGTAATGTTTGTGTGTTTTGCCGCCTCCTTCTTCTCTGCAAAGTGGTGGTTTATGAAGTGCCCATGCACTTGTGTGTACACGGACACAGTGAGAATATGTGATCGCCCTCAACTCTTCACCCACAAGGAGGCTAGATGCATGCTCAAAAATAAACAAAATAACCTGGGTTCTCTTCATGCCTAGGGAGGAAGCAGCTTGGCCCCAGAGGCAAAGTGGCTTGAAATGAGAGCAAAAGCAGTGGTTAGGAAAGCAGAGGGAATGATAAAGCAGAACTGGTATAGACCAGGGAGAAAGGCAGCTTATGAGCCAGCCCTGGCTGGCTACATTCTGGCCCCGGTAAGAGCAAAGCCCAGGGTCAGGACTCCAGCTTCACGTTCTGTGTGCCTGGACCCAAATCATCAGGGTTGGATTTGGCAGGATTACCATCTGTATTTGTATCTCAGTAAGAGCCACTCAGTAAAATGCCAAACATTAAGCAAGTGCAAACATCAATAATTAGAGCTTCCTGTTCCCCACACATCTTTTCTTGAAAACCTTTATTGCTGCAGAGCTGATGTTATTAGGCACAGAATGAAGAACTCCAAATATAAACTGTGAGATGGCTCCATCTTATAACCTAAGACCTGAAAAAGAAGGGTGTGATGTTGTCACTAGGAGGGAGATTTGTTTGGTTTTTCTTTGGTGACTGCATATTGCAGTAAGTAGAAATGCCCTTTACATTTTGTCATACGGATTTCTTTTTAAAATCTGTGTGTTTGGTCAGCACTCATCATCCCAGCCCAAAGAGCCAGTCCCTGAACCACAGAAGTTCTCTTGGGCACCTCTAGGCCAGGGCATGTGTGGGCTTTACAGGCAGCTTCACCACTTGCCAGTTCTGTGAATTTAGGCAAATGTTTTAGACTCTTTGGATCTTAGTGTTGTTTTTTTTTAATCTGAAATATTGGAATAATACAGATTCCTTAATTTGCAGGGTTGCTATGAGGCTGAAATAAAATACTGAATGTAGAAATGCTCAATTAGAAAGCCTTATCTATAGAAATAGTATATTAAATATACCAAAGAACATCATAAATATCCTCGTAAAACATAGAAATATATTTCATCTGCAAACATGACATCTTCCCAAATTTTCCCAAAGTAGAGTAAGGAAATGAACTATTTACTGAGTCTCTACCTTAGGGCAGGTGTTCCAGCTATCACATTATCCATTCTGCAAAGTAGATCTTAAATCTCAATTTTAGACACAAGGAAATGGAGGCTCCTAGTGACAGACGTAGCAAAAGTGGGATTCAGACCTGACTTAAGAACTGAATGCTCTTTCTTCTAGGCTACATTGTCTCTCGTTGTCTGTCTAGTTCCAAACCCCCAGGGTTCTTAAAAGCTGTTCACATCCTTTGGTGCTGGGAAGTGTGCTTGCCGTTTCTTAGTCATTCACTCCTGTAAGGGGGGCAGGGTGGGACCCAGAAGGAACTGGAATGCCAGGCGCTCCTAGAGAGTCAGCAGCATGGTGTGTGGCGCAGGCCCTCCATAGGAGTTCCACTTTTAGGGAGTTGGCCTGGCATAGACAGAAAGCCAGGCAACAGCTGTGCCACATTTCCTAGCCCTTGAGAAAATGGCTATAGCCCTGTCGTTTTCAGAAGTTCTTTCTTTTTCTGTCAAAGTAAAGCAACCCTTCATCAGAACTTCTGTCAGGAATCAGGGCCTCTTGTGTTTTCTGACCGGCCCTTCATTCTGTTTGTAGAGGGAGTAAGATTAGATTTATTCTATGTAGTAAGCACTCTGCTAAGCTTTTCTGGGACTCTTCCTGTTAGCTTTGATGCCAGGCTTCGGGGAAAGGGGTCTCCGATGTGGCAGTTCATTAAGTGCCCAGTGGGACCCACTGCTGCATGCATTTTCTTTTTTATGTCCTTTCTCTGAGTCCCAGGCAAACAGAGTCAGCTTGTGAACTGGAGCTGCCCACCCAGAGAACCAGAGAGAATGCCTGTTGAAGGGCCAAGTTGCATATTCAGCGAGGATGTCAGTGTGTGGGAGAAGCATTTGTTCAGCCTGCGGTCCTGAGAGGAACTGTGTTGTGTTCCCATAGGTTCTCAACAGGAGGTGTGTAGAAGCGGCGGTGATGACAGGCCTGGCTCTGAACTGCCACATAAACAAGAAGTCCTTGTTTGACAGGAAGCACTACTTCTATGCAGACCTCCCTGTAAGTACACTTTGCGATCCACCCCACTACAACTTCTCAGAGCTGAGCCAGCCCTGCTGTGGGGGGTCGGAGTGAGGAAAAGGGGCTGTGCCTCTCATGTTTTCAGCCAGCACTGTGTCCATCCCAGCGGGAAGTTCTGCCTGGCCCTGATGCAGGCAGGTGCCCCCGATGTTTACTAGATTGGATGCAATTGTCTTGATTGCTGACTTCTTGCTTGCCTCATGCTTCTGGTGGCTCGCTCATAATTGCACAGGGAGTAGAAGTCAGTGTTCTCAGGCTCAGCCGGGCTGTGGTATTTGGTGCTAATTGCCTGTTAGTACTAAAGCTAAGCCTCTGGCTGATGCAACAGTAAATGCATACTGTAGCTCTGTCGGAAGAGGGAGAGCGTCTCGCTTTTAAGTTGAAGTTCCCAATAATAGGGCTGTCTCCTTTGGAGACATTTCTGTCATCTCACAAGGAGCAAGTAAGTGGACAATAGTAAGCGGAAACATGGACAGAAGCCTGGACCAAGAACAGTAATTGGCTGAGCAGTAAACTCTGTATTGACCCGCTTTTTTCCGAAAATTAAAAAGTTTTTTTTCTTCAAACCACACCATGTGAGTGAGAGCCAATTTTTCATACTATTGAACTGGAACAAAACTGAAATGTTGAGTGGGTTTCCCGAAATAATGTTTCGTTTGATCTGATTTGGAAAAACAACAGTAATGATGTTGCTTCACCTCGTTCTCCTTAAACTGAAGATTGGGGTAAGCTGTTTTTTAGTGGGTGAGGGCACAAGTAGAATTAAATAAAAAATCCAAGTAAGACCTGCATTCTTCAGTGGCTGCTGCTTTTCCCCTCTGGCCTCCAGCCTCTCAGCAAGCCCACTGTTTCACAGGGCAGAAATAATTAAACTCCATTTCTTCATCTTTTAGGAGTGACAGTTTGGTTGAGGTGGGAGATTTAGTAATAATATGACTAAAATGAGATGTTTTGGTCATCTGTGGCTTTCTGGTCTTTCTGGCCCAGATAGTTCAGATAATCCAAGTTTCATGAGACATACTTATCTAATAAAGCATTCGTTGTTTATGAAATTCAGATTTAACTGGGCATCCTGTATTTTATCCATCAATCCTAACCAGAGCTTAGTTTTACAAATTGAGACTTCCTGTCTTAGCATAGAAAATGGGTTACCCTTTTGCAGGGTTCTCAAAATGTGGTCCCCCGGGCACTAACATCATCATCTCTGGGAACTGGTCAGAAACATAAATTCTCAGGGCCCACCATCAACCTACTGAATCGGAAATCTTTGAGGTCAGGCCAACCAGTCTATGTTTTGACAAACACAGTGGTATTTCTGATGCAGTTAAAGTTCTTAAACTGCTGGCTGGCCAAGTGGTGAAAGACACAGATTTTGGAGCCTAACCACCTGAATTCAGACGCTGACATTGTTGCTCACTAGCTTTGTATGTGGCTTTGGGCAAGGTCCTGATCTCTCCGTGCCTTGTTCCTCTTCTAGGGTTGTTGTGGAATTAACTGAGCATTACACAGTGAGAGCAGCGTCTGGGACCTAGCAAGTGCTGCAGATGCCTTTGTTCTTATTCTCTGTTCTTCTTCAATTCTCCTCATTGACCTGCCATCTCTTTAGTGCATATTGATGCATGTGTCCATTTGAAAGTAATTCTTCCTTTCCATTTAGAAGCAGGTGAGGGATCCTTGCAAGATCCGTCAGTGCTTTAGTACCATATGCTTTCCGTTAACGGAGGGTGAGTGTCACAGCATTTTCTGGCTAGAGGAGCTAGGGAAGTTGGGTCAGGGAGGGCAGCTACCATGATTGATTCCTTTAAAAAGCAGAAACCAAACAAGCTTAAACACACACTAGCAACTGCTGTTGGCCGTGTGAAGAATAGATGGCAAAGTGCTTAGCCAGCATTCCGAATAAGGAGGGTCTGCCAGGAGCCCGGTAATGAGATGCAGAGTTTAGGCTAATGAGCTGGACGGAAACAGTAAATTCTTTTCTTAGGGGCCCCTGACAATGAGATTATTGTTGTTCCCCAATACAGCACTTTAGTGAGGGTGATGGGATGAATTCATGCTGTTTCTTGCGCTTATTGAGGGTGGAGGATTTGGGGAAGGTGAAGGGATGACGGCAGGAACAGGGGACCAGGCTCAATGATGGCCGCAATGCGGCAACTAATTTTTCTTCTCCTTTTCTTTTATTTTTCTCGTTACTGTTTTTGCTTTAAGTAAGCCTATCTTTGTGTGATTGTAAAAGGGATAGTAAACTGGATCCTAGCTTTTATGTGTTGACCAGTGACTGTGTGTACCCTATGTTTGTGTGCAGGCAGGCTACCAGATTACGCAGCAGAGGCTCCCAATTGCTGTGAATGGGAGCTTGACATATGGCGTCTCTGCAGGGAAGGAGCGGGGTCAGGTGATCCCCAAGACGGTGAGGGTCAAGCAGATCCAGTTGGAGCAAGACAGTGGCAAAAGCCTCCACGACGACCTAAGATCTCAGACGCTCATTGATTTGAACAGGGCGGGTAGGCTTGGAGTGTTTTCATTACTTCTCCTTCCCACTTCAGTTCTTGGATTGTAGGCCCCTTTTTTCCCCACCAGAGTTTTCCTAAACAAATTGATAAAGCAGTCACAGAAGCCTGACAGATGGAGACCAAAATATCAGCATTGGGATTGGCATAGGTGATTAGTGAGCATGGCTTGAACTGTGATCACTGTTAGGCTTGCTAATAACTCACCCCTGAAGTTAGACAAACTTAACCACCTAGTCGCAGACCCAGGAGCTAGATATTTTAAGCAGTCATTAAAAGGGGTGAAACAGTTAAAAATCGAAAAGCAGGGCTTAGGGGTGGTGGCTTACACTTGTAATGCCAATGACTCAGAAAGCTGAGGTCAGAGGATCAACCGACGCAGAGTTTGAGATGAGGCTGGGCAACACAGCGAAACCTAGTCGCCAAAAAAATTAAAAACAGCCAGGTGTGGTGCCATCCACCTGTAGCCTCAGCTATTCAGGAGGCTGAGGTGGGGGGATCACTTGAGCCCAGGAGTTCAGAGGTGCAGTGAGCCATGATCGTGTCATTGCACTCCAGCCTGGGCAACAGAACGAGATGACACCTCCAAAACGAAAAAAGTGTGAGGGAAGAATGATTCAGAAGCTAGAACCACTTTGAGAGTCCTTCAGTAAGGCAATGTTTCCTGAAACTTAGGCCTAATTTTTCTGCTGGTGAAATTGGAGAGCTGCAGTGAGGCTGACTCCGCCTGTCTTTGGTAGGAGTGGGCCTTCTGGAGGTGGTCCTGGAACCCGACTTGTCCTGTGGAGAAGAGGCGGCAACAGCTGTCAGGGAGCTGCAGCTGATCCTTCAGACCCTGGGAACCAGCCAGGCGAACATGGCAGGTAGAAGCCACAAAAGCAGCATTCTTCCTTCCCTCCCCCTTCCCGCCTCCTAGAACTTCTGTGACTTCAGTTTTATTTTCCATCATCAGTTATATTGATGTTGTTTGCAGCCATTTTGTCCCCAGCCTTTTGCAGTCCTGTTTTGGTTTTTTTTTTTTTTTTTTTTAGAATTTTCCTCGGATTCTTTACTGAACCCCCAATCAGATATAAATATACGACCAATAACAGTGCAGAGACACCAAACCCTTAATGAAATAATGGCTTTGAACAGTTCAGTCTTTCTTAGGAAGAAGACACTGTGTTTCTGAAGAACACTTCTTAGTTTGTGAGTTCTGTATAGATAGCACTTCATCGTTAGTTGCATCTTTCCTTTGGGTCTGTTTCTTGTGTTTTGTAGATTTTTCATCCATATACAGCTGAAGCCAAATTATATTGACTATAAGCCAAGATGATGAAAACTTTAACCTGAGATAAAATCTTAATTGAGTAGAAATATAGGAGGAAACTAAAACAAAAGAAACACTTGCACCCTTGGGACCAAGCAGACTACACATTTTAAACGTTTGCAAATTGCATATAAAGATCACAGGTTTTGGTCACACTCAATTTCTCCATGGCTCTAGGTGTCCTTTGCCCTGGCCTGGTACTGCTTTGTTCTTATGTAAGTCCCTAAAGGGTAGTCTCTGCCATCGTTTTATCCTGTTCTCTGTTCCTTGGGACTTTTTGAAAACTTCTGCCACCCTCAGAGCACTTCTTGATGGAGAGGAGACAAAAATACAGGTTCTGCATCTACAATTGCATTTTTCTATAGCACAGTTCAACGGTCACAGCAGGCACCCAGGAAATGCTGTTGATGATGATGTTCATCTCCATGCTGGTTGATAATACTGTTTACCAAGCTTAGCATGTCACATAATGTATTTGCACGTTACAGGGGGACTTCTGGATTTGTAGTGCCACATTTGTCACATAGGATATTACAAGCAACATATTATAACATCCGAGCCTTGGTACATGTTGAATCTGAGGACAGAACTTGCTTATTTGCTTTTATCTTTAAGCTAAAGACCAGAAAAATACAGCCACATGAGTTTGAGTGGCATAAAGGTTAGCTGCCTACAAATTTCTTTATAGAGACGATACTATCTTTTAGTGGAAGAAAATTCTCAATTTGAGATTTATTGCTCATGCCACTATTTTTTTTTTTAATCCACAGAACAAAAATGAAATATGTGCAAGTTAGATAGTTATCCATTTACGTTCCAAGTGTTGATTGCTTTAAGAAAGTTTTTACTATCCCATTCTTCTTCAAAATAACTGTGATTCCTACTAACCCTATGGGATCATAAATAGGCCACCTGTTAGCTAAGAAATAGTCCCATATGGGTCCTTGCCAAGAGATAAACCATAGTGGCAAGAACTCATCAGTCAGTGACAGCTGAGAGTGTTCATTAAATTGCATTTGCTGTGACACTTTTTGTTTCTTTGAAATACAAATCCAACAGCTTTGAGCACAGCAGCCGAGTAGCTTTGGTTGTTCTAAAGTTCTGTGGGAGCTGAGGTTGGCCTGGAGTCTGCAGGGAGCCAGCTCTTTGGTGCTGTGAGCATTTCATTGGCCCCCTCTCCTTTGCCCATCCCTCTGTCCCACCCCCCACCCACTTAGGAACGCTGTGTTGGCCTTGCAGCTTGCTGCTCAGGAGCTGAGGGCCACCCTGAAGAGGTGACATTGAAGACTAGTGGACACCGAGGGTGCTGTGGAATGAAGCCTAATTGGTTCTAGGCTGTAGTTCAATGGGTTCCTGATAGTTTTGCTGATGAGTATAGACCAGCTCAGCCCAGGTTCCAAGTCATTTCCTTCTCAGTGGACAGCCTTTGGCCTCTGTCGAGGAGATGCCCAAAGTATTAATAGTTTGTTAAGTTGAATGTGTACGGAAGTAGACATGCTAAGTGTTTCACTGATAATAATATCAACAAGTTGGAACATTAGTGTGTACTCTTCAGTTCACTAGGCATTTTACAATTAATTATCTCATTTAAATTTTATGACGTTGCTGAGAAATAGGTGGTAGAGTCTGCCTGTTGCAGGTGAGGAAACTGAGGCTTAGAGAGGTGGGGTTATTTGCCCAGGGCTCACAAGAAGTGGCAGAGCTGGGACTTGAGCCCAGGTGTGTCTGGGTCCTGGAGCCCTTTCTCTAAGCACAGCATCATACCACTTCCTAGTGGCAGCCACGGCAGTGTCATGACCATCACAGATGCGAACTTAAGATAGGCAGGATAGCAAGGTGGGGTGCCAAGGGCTGCCAGCTCCTGGATCTGGCTTGGAATCCTGTCCTGCAACTTCTAGCTGTAGGTGCCTGGGCAAAATGTTTTATTTCTCCGAGCCTCCCTTTCCATGCTTAAAAAACAAGCCCCCAAATAATTTTGTATGGAAAGGGAAAAGAAGAAACCAAAGAGGAAAGGAAGTCATCAAGGCCATCTGATAGATTTGGGGCAGCAGGCTGAGAGGAATGACTTTGTGGGAGAAAACAGAGAATTCCAGTTTGGATAGGTTAAGTTTGAAATGCCTCGGGAATGGCTCAGTGGCTTTGTCACCAAAACCAACAGTCTCCAATCATTTTAGCTCCAGAGAAGTTAAAAACTTGGAAGACAATTTTTCCATGGATTATCTTAGAATCTTGGAAGGCCGAAGGAGGGGTTTTACAGGATGATTCAAGTGCATTACATTGATTGTGCACTTTATTATTACATTGTAATATGTAATGAAGTAATTATACAACTCACTATAATGTAGAATCACTGGGAGCCCTGACCTGGTTTTCCTGCAACTAGATGGTTCCATCTGGGGGTGATGGGAGACAGTGACAGATCGTTAGATGATAGATTCTCATAAGGAGTACAAAGCCTAGTCCCTCTCATGCACAATTCACAGTAGGGTTCTTGCTCCTATGAGAATCTATTGCCGTGGCTGATCTGACAGCGGGCAGAGCTCAGAGGGTAATGCAAGCGGTAAGAAGTGACTGTAAAAACAGATGAAGCTTGACTCTCTTGCCCACCACTCACCCCCTGCTGTGCGGCCCAGTTTCTAACAAGCCACAGACCAGTACCTGCTCATGGCCCCTGCGTTGGTGACTTCTGACTAAAGCTATGTTGTAGGGAATGAATGTACTAACGTCTAGAAAATGTAGGATAGGGTCTGGAAAATAGCCTGTGCTGGGTACTTGTTAGGTACTCTTATTAACAATAATAAGTAGTAATACTTTTATGGAATTACCACTCATCTAGATGAATGAGCTTTGTAAAATATGTTCAGTAAAATTTGGTCACCTTTTTTTTGGTCAAACCTTGTTATTTTTCAGCGATCAGAACAAGATGGCTTAACAGACCTTCCCCACCACATCTTTGGGCCCCTGCTGTTTGCAGACACAGTTTCTATCTTGATGTTATATTTCTGTTGTGTGAATGTGTTTTAGAGAAAAATATGAAACTGTACTGTATCACAGTGCTCAGTGGTATAGTTTTTTTAGTTTTGCTGTTATAAATCTCTACTTCTAGAAGATAGAAATTGAGCCTGATGACATTTTCATGATGTGTGAATGAAGGCTCTCCCTCAGTGGTGTGGAATGCATTGAAGTAAACCTAACTAGTAAAGCTTTTGTGCACTTGAGGCAATTTAACTTAATTTGTTTAAAAGGTATTTTGTCTTCACTGGATAGCACGTCTTTTATTAATGTTTGATACTGCATTTGAATCCAAGCTAGCGAACTCTCTTTCAACACGGCAGGATACTAAATGATTCCTCTCAGGTATTTATGTAGTGTAGTCTTCTCTGGGAGAGACTGAAACTCATGCTTTTATTCCTCTTCCAAATTAGAATTCTAAATTGTGAAAGATGCTTTCATTTCTAAAAGGAAGCAAGGTCCAATTGATGGTTCCCCGAGTTCAAAAAAAGTTGTCTCCCAAGTATTGCGATTTGGTTCGATGGAGCTCAGCACACTTTGGAAGTTTTCCTTTGAGCTTAATGGGGCTTTCAGAGGATTCCAACTGCAGATTAGTCCTATTCAGACAGAACTGTAGAACTTACCGGGAACCTACTGTGAGACAGAAGCCAGTCTGCTTACTCATTGTTCGGGAAGATGCCAGAGTTCTGGCATTCATCGCTCAATAAGATTTAATTTATTGAACAGTCACCATGTGCCAGACCCAGCTCTAGGTTCCACACAAGACATTGTTCCTGCCACATGGATTTTATATTTGTAAGGGTGAGAAATAAAATAATTACAGCGACAAATGCTTCAAGGAAATAAACGGGGTGCAGTGCTACAGAGTAACATTGGAAGGTGACAGTGTTGTTTTTTAAAGGCCCCTCAGAGGAGGTGACAATCATTTAAAACCTGAAGAATGACTCAAGGCCCATGCAGCATAGAGCCAGGAGATGAGCATTCCAGAAAACCGCTAAGGCCACGGCCCTGAGGTGAGAAAGAGCTGGGAATGGGCCCTGGGGTAAGCAAGGTACCACAAGGCCACTGTGCCAGAAGCAGAAGGAGCAGTGGCATCAGGTGACACTGTAAAGGCAGGCAAGGGCTAGATCAGAGATAATGGCAAGAAGTTTAGCTCTCAACCCAGGTGCAGTGGTAATCACTGAAAGGCTTTTAAGCAAGGGAAGGACATAGTCTGATTAATGTTTTAGAAAGCGCTCTGGGTGCTCTGTGGGAAGTGGATTTCAGATGGGTAAGAGTAGAAGCCAGGAGACCAGTTAAGCTTTTGCAGTAGTTCAGATGGAAGACAATGCTGTTTGGACGGCACTGGTGGTAGTGAAGATGAAGATGGAGAGAGAGGTACATACAAGATGGTTTTTAGAAATAGGCTGGTGTGAAGGTAAGAGACAGGGTGGAAGCAAAAATGCCTTTAGGACAGTTGGAGGAGCTAGATGGTGGTGCTGTTTACTGAAATTGGAAGATGAGAATGTCTTTGTGCAGGACCAAATCAGGATTTTGTTTTGGAAACTGAGATGCCCGTGAGACCTCCAAGTGCAAGTGGAGGTGTCAAATAGATATCAGAGCTACAGGTGTGGAGCTGAGAGGGGTGTGGGCTAAAGAGAGAAATGTAGGCATCATCAGCACTAGGTGGTGTTAAAACTGTATCCGCCTACCCAGAGAGTATAGATAAAGAAGAGGATTCTGGGCTTGGCTGGGAAGGAAGGCATCGGCAAATGAAATGGAACCAAAGTGTCCAGAGGAGGAAAATTGGGAGCAAAAGATGGCAGAAGCTGAGCTAGGAAGATATTTCAAGAAGAAAGGATTGGTGGTTGTGTCACATGCTGCCAAGGTGTCCAGTAGGTGAAGACGTGTGTCCTGTATCCACTGGATGTGGCAGCCATGAAATTGTTGGTGACTCTGACAAGGGCATTTTTAGAGAGACGTGGAGAGAAGCCAGGCTGACATAGGTTTAGGAATAAATGGGAAGTGACATAGTGGAGACAACGTGTGCAACAAACAAAACTTGTTTAAGAGGCTTTGCTGAAAAAGAAACCAGAGAAACGATAGCTGAGTGACTGATAGAGTGAGAACTGGGTTCAAGGGAATACGTTTTGGGGTTCTGTTTGTTCATTTAATGAGAAATCCTATTGCATACGTGTATGTCAGATGGAATACTGAGAAAGAGTCATGACTGGTATGGGAGAGAAGGGATAACTGAGAGTGATGCCCTTGAGAAGCCAAGAGGGGGTTAGAATCCAGCCAGTCCTCAGGGGCCTTCCATTCTGGCCTTAAAGATGAGGCCAATGCATAGTAGCCTATGGTCACATACTGATTTCTGTAGTATAGTTTGTGAGTATTCTGATAGTTTAAGGGACCCACCAGTGCAGGCCAGTTTGCTGAGGAGGGCTTCTAGGAGGAGGCAGTAACACACAGTGCGACCTTGAAGGACAAGGAGAGGGACAGAAGCTCTGATAGAGTGTGCTGGTGGAGCAGACAGGGATGTGTATGCAGAAGGCTGCCCTGATTGGAGGAGAGCTTTCTCCCGGAATGAGCAGTGGAAAGATACAGGTCATGTCGACCGAAACCCGATGAGAGCTACAGAGCGCCAAGCAGAGGAGCTGAGATGATCCAGTAGGAGCTGTCTGTGCCGTCGAGTGAACAGCAGGAATGATGAACCCAGATTGTAGCAGGATGAAAGTCACAGCCACATTGCAGTCCCCAGACAAGGAGGGAACTGTGTTAAGAGTCAGGATGTGATTTTATAACCTAAGCCTGAAGTTTGGAGACCTCAGGCAAGGGTGGTAGCCACAGAAATGGAAAGGGAGTGGAAGGCATGAGGGATATTTGGAGGCTTTCAAACTGGTAGGGGCTAGTTGCCAGTTAGGGTATCAGGAGCAAAGAAAACAGAGAAGTTGAAGATGACCTCAGCGTGCCTAGACCGAGAGTCTCATGATGTCAGGAATAGTTGGGGCTTCCGGAGATGCTGCAGATACACACATTTTGCCAAAAGAAGGGATTACAAATAAGGGGCTACGGAATTCTTGTAAAAGTGTTGAGAAGTCTGTGCTGGAGAGAGAGTCATGTCTGAGCTAAGAGGCATCTTTTCCCTGTCAGCATGGGTGGCAATTGGGCGAGCCCTTCCCTTTCTCTGAGGGTGAGTGGCAAGGTGTCAGCCGCAGGCAGCCACCAACGTCCAGCTTGGTATAGGCCCCACAACCCAGCACTGGGAGAATGACAGAGAACCAGTTCCAAGGATCTCCTTTTCTCGACATGGAATTCATTTTCACTACTTTATTATTTTAAGATGCTTTTGCTTTGGAATATTAAATTAATTTATTCAGCCCATCCAGACACTCAGGTTTGGCAAATTACTTTTTAATTTAAAAACTTAACTAGGAACATAAAATCCAGAATTTTGTTTTCTTACTTTGTCCTCTTGTAAATGTTGTAAATGAAGTTGGAGAACAAAGGATCTGAGCTTTACTTTCTAGGGTGCCAAATGTGATTCTTTCTTACCTGCATCTATTTGTCTTGGGATTGTTCTCTCTCTCTTCCTCAAGAGCCTTTCAGTTCTCCCCACACATTGCCTACTTCTTTAAGGCTTGCTGCTCCTAATCTGAGGGGCCTCGAGGGTCCAGGAAGGTCTTCCCAGAATGGGGTCAGGACCTCTCTGAGTCCCTCTACAGACTCCCGACTTCGTTAACAGTGCTTTCTGCTGTAGCAAATCCTTACAGCAGTCAGGAAGGATTTGGAGTCATGTTTGTGGAAGGAAGAGATTATTATAGTACCTGGAGGAAGGAGGAGGGGGAAAGCCCGGGTTTCAGCTCTTGCCCTTGAGCTGCAAATTCTCAAGGACTCTTCTGTAAATCTCCTGGAGTCACTGTTAGAAATCCACATTCCACTGGAGAGCAGTGTAGGGCTATCAGTCATTTTTGAGGACTTTCCTCAACTCAGCTCTTACAGTTTGAAAAAAACTTCAGTAGAAAACTACATAGTCAATCTCCATTTTAATAGTCTTGTTTTTCTTATTTAGCACAGAAAAATGAGATCCTTCCAGCTGGTGTATCTAAAACTTCTCTTCCATTTGTGTATAAGCACTCACACCTGTGTACACTCACATGTACAGGCACACACCGTAGATGCCTTAGGTCTGTAACTCCTCTTAAGTGGCCAGAGGTTAAGAGGTTAAGAGGTTCTGAAGCAGCTGTGTACTTCAGAACCAACTGCGCCTTCTCTGAAGTCAGACTGCTGTAACTAAACAGCAGGTAGAGTTAGATGCTGCTTCCTTTGACACCCCCTGCCTTTAAAAGACAATGTCACCTCGAAGAATTTCTAAGGAGTTGTTTTTTTCTCTCTTTCCAGAGGGCCAGTTGAGAGTGGATGCCAATATATCCGTGCATCACCCTGGGGAGCCTTTGGGCGTTAGAACGGAAGTGAAGAATCTCAACAGCATCAGGTTCCTGGCCAAAGCCATAGGTGAATGCCAGCTGCCACTCCTCTTGTCTTTCTTCCTGTTGTTTCTTTCTTGCTGTGTAGCAAACAACCCAGAAGCTTAGTGGCTTACACAAGAACTACTTTCATTTGCACAGTTCCATGAATCGGGTGGTGGTTCTGCTTGTCCTGCCTCGGTCACTCACGTGGCTGTGGGACACCGGCAGGCCAGCAGAGGCAAAGGGTCCGCAATGGCCTTTCTCATGCATTGGGGTCTCGGTGCCAATGTCTGCTGGGCTTCTCCATCCATGTGGCCTTTCTTCACTCACTTCCTAGCCTAGACTTTCTTGTTAGGCAGCGGGAGCATTTCAGGAGGATGAAGGCAGAAGTGAGTCCTAAGCTATAGAACTCACACGGTGTCACTTCCAACGTGTTCTGTTCAAAGCAGATTGAGGCCTGGCACAGTGGCTCATGCTTGTAATCCCAGCACTTTGGAAAGCCAAGGTGGGCAGATTGCTTGAGGCCAGGAGTTCAAGACGAGCCAGGCAACATAGCAACCCATTTCCATAAAAAATTAAAAATTTAGCCAAGCATGGTAGGGTACACCTGTAGCCCCAACTACTCAGGAGGCTGAGGTGGGAGGATCGCTTGAGCTCATGAGTTTGAGGTCATAGTGAGCTGTGATTGCACCACTGCACTCTAACCTGGGCAACAGAGCGAGACTAAGAAAAATAATAGATTGAATTCAAAGCAGTCTTGAGGGGAAATTAGACTCCACCTCTTTATCAGAGGATCCACAAAACATCGTGGCTGTATCTTACCATTTACTACCTTCTTTCTGACCGGTCTGAGATTTATGAAGTCATGGCTGTTCATTTTAGATTGACCATGGCTTGAACTAAATGGTCAATATGTTTTCCTGCTTTTTATAGTCTTTTTAATTGATACGTTTTGTGCTCATGCAGCCAAGTAGTAATCTTTCTGGAGCACATACTGTGGGTATTTCATTGATGACAACTGTATAATAATTAAAATAGTTTAGCATGATAAACATCTGGATAGTCCCATAGATATTGCTAACTGTGAATTACAGGGGAGGACCTTGGAGGACTAAAAAGATTTTTTAAAACCAAAGCAATCTAGAGAGGAAGAGGGAGGGTGGAGTTTGAAGTGTACCCATTCAAGAGTGCACAGAGACCAAGACAACTGAATGTGTTGCCAAAGTCTTCAGGAAAAAGGCATTAAAGTGGCCAAGGGAGTAACTTATGGGAGCAGAGAGGGAAGGGGTAGGTTCCCATATGAAGGCAGACTAAAGATGAACTGTTCTGCCTCCGAAAAGGGACATAATCCATGTTCCTGAAGCCATGACAGGTTTGAGTCAGGGAAAACCCTTATAAGCCGAGTTGGTGAGGGGGAAGCCTGGAATAAATGGGGGAAATTCTACCTCCCCCTGTAGGTAGTAGTGTACTGGGGCCGGTTATTTTAAGAGGTGGTGATGTTAACCTAAAAAAATAACAGCAGCCAGATTTTAGATAGAGTCATCCACAAGTTGTGAAGGAGACCCTGGCATTTTTTTGCCTGTTCCTAACCTCCTGTCCTATGAAGAACTCTTTGGAGGACCAATCTGAGGGAGAATTCTCCCTGTGGTCTGACTCAGAGTGGAAGAACCAAAGCTTTACTATTGTGGGCTCAATTCTCCAAGCCTGTGATTTTTTTCCACCACCTTTTCCTCCCTGTGTCGGACCTTTTAGCCATCATCTTGTGTCAACCAAAGAGATGACTGGAGTTGGGGAGAGATGGGGAGCAGTAAGTGACATGTTTTGGTGTTGCTGCCTCTTAGCAGCTCAGATAAAGGCGTTTAGATTTGGGCAAGAGAGGGTAGTACATGGTGGGAGGGAAAATTGAGGTAGAGGCTCAAGCTATTTTCATAAAGAGGCTTAGCAGGCCGGCCTCAGTGGCTCATGCCTGTAATCCCAGCACTTTGAGAGGCCAAGGCAGGGGGAT